TGAGCCATCCAAACCCCATGGGAAAAAAGACTCATAAGTTACCTTTTTTTGCTTTTTAATATCAGAGCAGTGAAAATGTATATTATCTGTTTAATAAAAGAGAAGCTTACCTATTTTTAATTTGGGAGCCCAGAGAAGATATTACTGTAAAGTGCAGAAAGAAAAAAGATCATATGCCTAAAATGTTTTAGCGCAGCATTATTAGAGCCAAATCAGAGCCTGGGTCCTGGTTGTATCTCTGAGGTTGCAAGTTTCCCCAAGGAACTATTTGATTTGGAGGAACTATTTCCTCTTTAGCAGGAAGAAGAAAATCTGTGCTTCAGTGTCTTCCAATGCCACCCAGATTGGAAGCTTTCTTTTAGGGCTGGATGAGTAGTCATTGACACACTAAATTCTACACCAGAAAATCTGGAGAGGGAGTAATGAAGACTTGAAATTGGGCAAAGGAAGACGGAATAAACAACAAATCTCAGTCAAGATAAAGCTTTGGTAAACCACTAGCTACTCTAAAACCCGACAATACTGCATAGTTAAGAGTGCCATTCACTAGCAGGGCATACCTTACTTCTCATTTTTCTGCATCCACAGAAAAGAAACACAAAATGAAAGTAAGGTATGAAAGCTCAAGCTTAGGACCTATGAAATGCCTGAAAAAGGAGGTGGAGAAGAATTTCCTTTTGAAACAAAACATATGCCCTCTCATTCTCTAGAGTCCAATTTGCATTTTACCCAAGTAGGTAATTAAAATAAATTCTTTTCTTGATTCTTTTCAGAACAAAAATCTTTTTCATTCCTGAGATGGAACTTTCTACCCTCCATCTTGGTAGATCTAAAAATAGGCCACACCTAACCTTTTACACAGCTATACAAAGCCACTACGTGGAAATTCCAGCCTGGTGCTCGCTTGTGGGTATTTTAAGTCTGTGTTCTCTTTGCTTTCTCTATCACAAAGTCCAATGTCACAGAGTAGGTACAAACTTCAGACAAAAGTGGTTTGTTGGGGTGTCATATTTTACATTCTCTGAGGAACCATTTTTCAGCTGTGTTATTTTGCTTTTCAGATAGAATCCAACAAAAATATAGTTCCCCATTTTTTCACATAATTAAAGCAAAATAAAGTTATTCTTCATGTTTACAGTATTATGATTATTGGGGCTCTAATACTTCAATGGAATGAGATCAAATGAACTTCTAATTTATCCCCAAATGTGTATATCCTACAAATAGACAGTGATGCCAAATAAGCCGTACAAACACACGCAATTGGACATGCTTTATGATTCCATTTCTACAAAACACCAAGGTGAAACTATCTAATATATGTGGCTGAAAGTCATGAGAGAGGTTGCCTTTGATGGCACTTTGGGGATGGTAGGCAAAAGAGCAAGAGGAAGGTAGAGACCAAGTTATGATCTCTTTCTTGGTGTCAGTACTGGTTATGTGGTTATGTTCAGTTACAAAAAATACATTGATATGATCCCTGCTGATAAATGCACTTTTCAGTATCCATATTATAATTCTATAAAGAGTTTGAAATATATTGAGCAGGAGAAAGGAATGTTTCTATATCACAAGCTTTCAAAATTTTCTTCTCTGCTGTTACCAAAAACTAAATCTAAATATTCAGGGGCTCTTCTTAGAAAGGCCATTAAACCTCTTACACCAATGACAATGGATAAGGAGTTGAGGATCCCTATGTCTGGGTTGATGTGTTTGTTTTATCTTGGAGGAGTAATCTAGCTTTCTAGATTTTTCTTTTCTCCAACATAAGGTAAGATTGTCATCTGCATCAATCGAGATGCTGTGTACTGATTTGTTGAATGGAACTCCTTTGGGCAACTACTTGAAGATAATAAATATATAATTTTAAAAGATTGTATTCCTTAAATAAATTAACTGATGGAGGCTGGTTTCCAAGTTTAAATATTCGGTATTTTTTATCTTTGATTCAAAAGTCATTGTTGAAAAGCATCGTTGACTTGTTTTGGCATAGAAGTCTTCCCTGAGAGTGCGGATCTAGGAGCCAACACTAACCTACCATTTGGGACCCATCTGTGAAAATCTCAAGCTAAACTATCTGAACGAGAACCACCTCATCTATAAAACACCAGTATCAATAGCTGTTTTATATGATGGCCATGAAGTTTACAAACATGTAAGAGTCTATTGAAAAACAGTAGACTCAATAGATTACTAGAAAAATATGGTCACTAGAAAAATTTAAATTTTAACTTATATGTTTGCTATTTGTCTGGCAAAGAAAGAAAAGAAAAGAAAGAAAAAAGAAAGGAAAGAAAGAAGGAAGGAAGGAAGCAAGGAAGGAAGGAAAGAAAGAAAGAGAAAGAAAGGAAAGAAAAGAAGGGTGGAAGGAAGGAAGGAAGGAAGGAAAGAAAAGGAAGGGAAGGGGAATTAGAAGAGGTCAAACCAAGCAGACTTGCTCTTTGTTTCATATTAAGCTGACTTGGTACATGTGACAAAACCATCACATGTGTGAGGATGCCAAGGGCCTGTTGTTCTTTTGCATACTTGATGAAAAGCAAAAACAGCCTCATTCTAGTCCTGACCTGGCTCTGACTCTAAAGACAGCAGAAGCGCCAAGTGTAGTAAACAGTTTTGTTTCTACTAGGCTGGCCACAAACTTATTTGAACCAAAGTCTTTCCTGAATTTCTCTGTTAAGAAACAAGACAACCATATGGCACATGAAATCCAACAAAATACTATGACTCTGCGAATGTGGAGGAACCTCAAAGCATCAAATCAGGTTTGAAATGATGAGACTGAAAATACACCCAGAAGAAGGGATGGAAAACAAACCACAGGAGCAAAACAACTCAATACAAAGTCAATTTTGCCCCCAGTGGCCTATCAACCAAATTGTCTTAGTATTCCCACTTCTCCATTGCCTGTGATCAATCATACAATTGCTTTTTAAATAGATAAAAATGGCATAAAAGGATACTTTATATTTTCCTTTCCATGTTTAAATGTTTTCCAAAATTGAGATGTCCTATAAATGTGCCTGAAATTTCAAAATCTTTGTAAGAAAAGGAGAAGGGAAAATATCTTCTTAATAATTCATAGATACTATGTTGATAAAATATTTTGGATAGATTGTGCCATATAGAAGATATTATTGAATTTATCATTTTAAAGTGTGGTTACTAGAACATTTTAAATTACGTATGTGATGTGCGTGATATTCATTTTAACAGTATATAACTTTTTAAAAGTTTTTCATTTACCCTTCAAGTTCTACCAAGGATACAAAACAAATTTATGAATTATAGGATAGAGGAATTTCAGAATTAAAAGAAATAGCCTAGCAAATGCAAACATGCACAACTCCAGGGGACGCCACTCCTATCACAGTGTGCAGATTGATCCTTGGAACTTTTCAGTTTACATGGTGTTGTGTTAAATAAATCCATGATCCTTATGAAATCATTAAAAAAAAATCCCTTCTAGAACATCCCTGGGGCAACCTCATGAATCTATTCAGCACTTTTTACACCTTTTCAAAACATAAACATCCTAACGAAATGTAAATGCAGAAAGTGAGATTTGCCCAATATTCCAGACTTGGAAGGGTGGAAAATAGAGCCAATCACTATCACCGTATACTAACAGGACTCAGAAGATGACCAAATCCCCTAGAACATAAAGGCTGGGATATGTGCGAGGATGTGAGGCTCATCCGGGACACGGGAGACATTTTTCGGAGATTTGCATCCACTTTAATTACAAAATGCACCCACCTTTCCCTTCCAAAGGAGAAAAGCCTGTTGTTGCATCTATAATGTAGCCTTAGTTTTTGTTGCCAGAAATGATTCCGTAAACACAGTAATGGTATGGTATACTGTATCTTATTCCATATTCAAATTATTCTCAAGACAGCTCTGGCATTAATTCAGTTTGATGTCTGTACTTAGGATTTCACATAGGTACCTTCATCTAATTCTTCTTCTCAACTAATAAAAAATCTTAATTCATGGTAATATATTTATTTCCAGTTCAGTTCATGTTAAGGAGTGCAGTACTTTACAGAAAACTAATTAATATCAATCATATATTATAACACTTTTAATGGTTCAGAGGAAAGTTCTGCACTAGGGAAAAGATTAGATGAACCAAGGGGTCTTTAACCCATCCTATTTACTCTATTTTTAGGATTTGAAAAAAAGTTTTATCAAACACCATTTCAGATATAAATTTAACTGGAAGAATACATCATAGGCAGGCTAGGAATTAAGGACCCTGCTACTGATCTTTAATAAGACATTGATTTGATGTGGCCCAAGAATGTAATTTATATCCTCACACTCCATTTTCCCACAATTTTGTCTAATAACCATATAATTTGCAAGTTGGTAAAGATATTCGAAATCAGATGCATGGCACTATTAAAATAATGAACAACTTTACTAATAGCAAGCCTTCTGCAATTGTTGGAAACAACTCTGTTTTTATGTAATGTTTGAGTAATGTTGATGGCATCGTATTTCCTGAGATTGTGCATATAGTCAGCGGGAGAGTTTAACTGTGACTCTTTGACTATGACATAAATGGTACCCCCTGGAGACATGCAATATAGTGGCCCACTATGTAGCTCCCTGAAGGAGCTACATTTAAAAGGCTTAATTCTGTCCCAGACACAAAGAACATAAGCTATGAGTTATTTGCGTAACTAAAAAGTCTTTAAAATTGAAAAACAAACAAACAAACAGAAATAAACCCCTGTAATAGATAGCTTGAGACACAGGGACATAGTATCAGGTCTTGCCAAATTAACCATTTCATTCACTCCACAACAATTTCTTCACATTGATAAACTATACTTTACAATGTAGAACCATATGCTATGCCAATGTCTTTTTATGACTTCTTAATAATTAACATACATGACCTCCAAACCCGATATAAAAATGCTTGAAAGTGCTCATGATTACAAATAAACACAAATCCCAACATGCCAATACAGCAGAATCTACAGAGATAATACCTCTTGATACTCACTTGCATACCCGGATCCATTAGTGAGAACCCCAAGAGGTGTGCCATTCATTTTTTCTGCAGAACAAGTACTTGTACAGCAAGTGGAGAGACTACTGACAAAGGGGGCTTGTACACGCCCCTTTTTAATTCACAAGGGCAGAGTGACGTAAGAAGGCACTTGGGAGTCACTGCTCAATGAACTCCACAACAGGGCACAGTTCTGAAACCCAATCGTAGCCCGATATGGACGTAAGAGCAAATATGTACAGTATCATGTGCTTTCCAACAGCTCTGAGTCTCGAGGGAGCTCTCTGACATCAGCAGCTGAGACAGGTGGTTCCCTTTCCAACTGTGGAAAATAAAACCCCAGTGCAGAGCCACTAAGTAAATATAGCAGTACTGTAATTTTTCCTGGGTGCACTCTCCCTGTGATTTCTCTCCCTGTGATGATACTTAGCCAATGAACCTCTTCAGAACATCTATCCAGACCAATAACTGACAACATTTGTGGACAGGTTAATATTGGTGTTAAGAGGCTGGTGGAAGGCTCTGTTTTGCAGTCCCAGATGGCAGAATTTGGGGCTATCCTCCTCTTGTTTATTCAGAATCTGCTGTCACATGCCCACACCTCTGCTCTACTATGTCATCCATTGTTCCCTGGTATTCATACTACCCAATGGAATGGCAGGGGGAAAAAAAAAAGATCATCTTAAAATCACATGCATAGGGCAGGTCAATACTAATCATATCCAGTTTGAGTCTGCAAGCTAAGATCAGGTGATATGTCCTAAGCCCTTTGTGGCCACAACTATTTGCTTTTGAATTTAAGAATCACTAGCAGAAGGGCACCCTGTAATGTGTGTATAAAATTACTTAATTCAGCTTCTATTTCCCTTTCGGAACATAGATACTTTTACACTCTGACAGCAACTGGCTCTTAAAGCATTCTCCTTTTTGTTGTATCTCCTTAGAAACACAAATCTTGTTCCCTGGCAGCAGTGGCACTAAGTGTTGTACCACATGCTCAAACGAGTTCACCCTCGCAGCTTTAATTCTCAGTAAGTGGCATGAAAGGAGGTCAGCCCTTCTCAGAAAACACTCCGAGTTCTTCTCGGCGACAGAATCGATTTCAGAAAGCCATACTCCCTAGCATGGCAGAACTGGCTTCTACTTGGAAATTCTGGCCATAACTATTGACCACTTTATGAAATGATCCACAAAGGGACAAACACAGGGAAAGGATCTCCACTTGAACTCTGGAAAAGAAATCTCTATGACTTGGATTCATTCCATAGGACAAGGAAGTTGGTGGCTGCCATCCATTCTTCATCCTTTGGTTTCCAGATAACTCTGTGATCTGGAAAGTGGGTGGCATGCCTGTATAGTATGGCTTTTCTTTCCAGAGGTGTTCATGGAATGCCTAACTTAATAATGCCACCTTAATCCTGAATGTTGCCATGGAAACCTACAATTGTAATGAGTCTAAGGAAGAGGAAATGAAACAAGTTCTTCCTGCTTTTCTCCACACTATTCAACTTTCAAAGAAGCAGGTCTTCCCAAGTTTAAAGTTTCTACATTTTGAGCTATAGTGAAGATATTAGCAATAAAGCAATGGCTCTGAGAACTGGAAAGTAAGGACTGTGGATTATATCATTTAGTCTTTGGACTAACACTAGGCAGAAGTACTGTTATTACGCTGATTCTAGGGGTAAACTCATTGAAGTTTAGGGAGTCTGAGCAATCTTTCTAAAAGCAAATAGCTGTATATGGGAGAGCTGGGGTTTAAAGTCAATCCTGTCTGACTTCAAACATTTTTCTCCTAATGATCAAGTTATTAAAAAAATAGCAGGCTTCGTGTGTGTGTGTGTGTGTGTGTGTGTGTGTGTGTGTGTGTGTGTGTGTGCAACAATCATGTAACTTAGACATCTAGAACTTTTTCCCCAATCAGAAGGGAACCACAGCTTCATACTCAGAAGAAAAGTAAAAACACCACACGCATCTAGCTAAAACCACCAGGGAAATTAGGAAAAAGCAGGGCTCAAACAAGAACAGGGCCTACACACGGCACCCCGCTTGGATCAAAAGAATCCTTACTGCCAGTGCCTATGAATCTGATCTGACACATTATTGAAAAGAATGCACCTTTCTTTGCACATCAACCTCTGAAGTGAATTTGGGGTGTTTTGATTCAGGTCACTGAACAGCACCTTTGAGACGAAGAAGCCTTATTATAATGTCACCCTTCTCCTTCAATGAAATGAAGATACCTTTTGAAGATGGCAATTTCCCAAGCCCAGGCACTTCATTGTCATGCCCCAGCCCCAGCCCACCTCATCTTGGAGGCCTAGAGTCAGGTGCTATCTTGCTGAGGGTGGGGGTGGTGTAGAGTTATTGTTTGAAACTGATCATACTCTTAGAACTTACCTATAGGTATTATTATTCCAAGTCAGAGAGCCCAGGACACTGCTGCTGTGTCTGGGTTGTAGGAGATGGTCACAGATGCAGTCCCAGAAAGGCAGAGGGCCTGAGAAGTTTAAGCATGAAAGAGTACAGGCTCTGAAGGGTGTGGTTATCCGTGGCTCAGCCTTCAGTGAGGTTGTCTGAGCCTCATCACCTGAGGAATGACTAAGAGCCCCACACCTGAGCCCAAGGCCAGGGGATCGCTTGGCCTCTGTAACGTATGGTTTGCTTCCGATGGAATTGAGCACTCCTAGCCTAGATGAAAATGTTCATGAGACCTCATATCAACAAGAATATATGGGTATGGGTCCTCCAGGTGGAGTCAGGAAGAATAAGTAAAAGGGGATCACAGTCCATGTAAAAAGTGAGACCATATCAGAGCAAAAGAGTCTGCAGCATGGCTCCAGTGAGAGTGACTTTCAAGCAATCACAAAGCCCTGAGTTCAAACCCCAGTATGAGGGGGAGAGAGAGAGAGAAAGAGAGCTGGATCTTGTGAAGACCTTGACTTAAACCAAAAAGACATTTCCATCTTATCAAAGATACACAAATATTAACATAGAAACAGAAAAATATGAAAAGCAAGGTAATGTAACTCCTTCAAAAGTTCGTAACTCTTCAGTAACTGAATTCAAAGATAGCAAAATACTGGAAAAGACTTCAAAAGCCTAGTTTTAAAAGTGATACTTATCCCAAAAAGAATTCAAATAAACAGATGAATAAATTGAAAAAAGCCAGTTTTAGCTGGTTAAGGAACCAAGAAATTAGATGAGAAATTTTGCAGAGAAATAGGGATTCATAAGAAAACAAAAGCAACAAAAAAAACCTATGGGTAATGAAAAACTGAGGAATTACTATACTGAGATAACAATTTAAACAACAACAACCAAGTAATCTTGACCACAACATTTAAGACCTCTGGTCACAATTAAGAAATAAACCTCTGAGTCTCTGGCATAGAAAAGGAAACTTAGATACAGACTAAAAGCATATAAAACGTACTCAATGAAATTCCAGAAGAAGATTTCCCAAGTCTAAAGAAAGAACTAGATAGCCACATACAGAGACATATAGGACCCCAAATAGACATGACCAGAAAAAAAAAAGCCTACAGCATATTACAGTTAAAATGCCAATAGTACCGAACAAAGAAAAGATACTGAAAGCTGCAAGACAGAAGTCCCAAGTTACTTACAAAGGAAAACCTATCAGAATAACAGTGGACTTCTCAGCAGAAATGTTAAAGGGCAGGAGGGTGAATTGATGTATTTAAAGCCCTGAAACAAAATGACTGACAACCAAGATTACTATATCCAGTAATGGTATCCGTCCTTTCAAAGTAAAAGAAGAAACAGACTTTCACAGTGAGTATGACTAAAGCAATTAATGAACACTAAACTAGAAGCATTGCCTAAGATATTTAAAGTAATATGATCTCACATATAAAAGTTATACTCAAATGCAAAAGAAAAATAAATGAATAAAATCTTTCTAGGAGGATGAAAAAGCCAATGAGAAATAAGAAAAATGTTAAACAGTATAGGCTCAGTAAACCAACAAAGACCTAAGAAGAAAAGGAATGGAGAAGTTAATATATAACTTTCAATGAACCCTAATTGTAAATGGTCTTCATTCTCCATTTAAAAGATGCAGAAGCTGGGATCATACCTATAATCCTAGCTACTGAAGAGACTTGAGGATTGTGGTTCAAAGCTAGCTCAGGCAGTTAACCACCAAAAACCCAAAGAGGAGCAAGGCCTGAAGTAGAAGAGCACTATCCTTGAGTAAAAAAGCTAAGGGACAGTATCCTGGCCCCAAGTTCAACCCCTATCTGGAACAAAAATAAACTAAAAAGATGAATAAATAAATAAGTATATAAATAAATAGAAAGATGTTCATTGGCTAATTGCTTAGATGCCCTAATGGATCAAGGTTATGTGAATATAATATATATGTGTATATATATATACATACATATATATACACACAAATATATATATATATAACTACAGATAATTTTTGATATATGCATATCCAAAATCTTCAATAAGATATCTCAAAATGAATTAACAACACATGTCAGAGATCATACATCATGATCAAATTGGTTTCATTCCAAGGATATAAACACACTTTGACATATGTAAATCATTATGCATAATGTAACACATGAATAGAATCAAGGACAAAAACCACATGATCATTTCAATTGATGCAAAAATAAATCCTTTGCAAATGTTCTACATTCATTCATTATAAGATCTGTGAAGAAACTAGGAATTGAAAAATCATAGAACAAACTGATATCCAAGATACCATATTGGGGAGAATGGAACACATTTCCTGTAAAATCAGGAGTGAAACAAGGGTGTTTATTCCTTCTGCTTTTAGTCAATGTAGTGCTTGAATTCTTAGCCAGAACCATATACAAATTGGATGCAGATAATATGATTCTGAAGACTACAACACCATGATGATATGACCCTAACAACTACACCAGAAAAATCTTAGGTCTCACAAACACTTTTAGCCATATAGCAAGATGCAAAATTAACTTAGAAAAATCAGTGGCTTTTCTTATACCAATAGCATACAAGCTGTGAAAAAGAAAT